CTATAGCGCAACGGGCCTGGATGTTTTCTGGCAGAAGTGGAGTGGGCGTGGGAATGGTTTCTTTTGAATTCAGTTCCAACCTTTGAAGACTTATATCTACGTGCAGCCCTTACGCATCCGGGAAGATGCTGATGCCATCCAACCGCACCGGGTCTGCCAGGGTCTCCTCTGGGAGCATCAGCATCGACAGTCCAGCCCAGAGATCGCTTTCTTTTTTTGTGGCAAACATCGAAGAGAACGACGACATCCATACAAATATGATATTATCATATTCAGGGATGTAGGTAGCTCAGTAGCTTGGGTGTGTCAGTAGAACCGAATCTGAGGTGCAAAGCTTCACACGAACCTTCTGGAGTCCAAGCATCCTTGCCGTGACAGATATAGATGCCGTAGATAGATAGACGAGAACAGGTAGATAGATAAATAGATAGATAGATAGATACTGCATAGTTATAGGCATCATTTACACATATAGTTGCATGTTTGACGCATCTTGAGTCGCTGAGGTCAAGACTCTTCTCCTTCCACTCAGTTGAGACCCCAGACCCGTGAAACATGTTACTGTGTTTTTTCGTTGTTTAGTGCTATTTTGAGTGCAGATTCTCAGGCAGCAAGGGATTCCATGCGTGATCATCGATCCAGAGAGCCACTATCCTCATGAACAATCATTTTTTGCGCGAGTCCTGCCTTCTTCTTTCCACTGCCTGTGTAGTTGCAACCGAACTGGATGATATGATCACATATTCATAGCCATGGTTTGACAGATGTCTTGAATGGCAACTCTCATCTCCACAACTCATAAAGCTACTAGAAACAAGTGCCACGCTAGTAGTAACAGGTGCCTTACTAGTAGTAACAGGAAGCTATTAGAATTATTTTCAGACAAAGACGCCCATCTTCAGGGAGAGCCCAGCCCCTGTGAGTCCGAACGTCCGGGCCACTCAGCACCCGCAGAGCCGTGCGGCACGCGTGGTCAGAGCCGTGCAGCCATTCGGGCGGTGGGCCATTTGGGCCGCTTGGGCCATGGTGGTGAGAGGGCCGGGTCCGGAAGCACCGTTCAAAGGGAACAAGTTGCTTTGCCATTGAACGCGTAGCAGCTTGGACGCGCAATGTGCACTATGCTCCTGGTGAAGGGACAAAGCTTTAGGCAGCCCGGAGTGAAAGCTGGGTGGTTGCATGAGGGTAAGACGGGTAAGATATATCCAGAGATTTAGAAGTCAGTCAGTATATAAATATAAAATATCTTCGCAGCTGTGCGCAACTGCTGGCGCAGGCCAAAGGTGCCTTACATGCAGTGTTTGGGACAGTTCCTGCTGGTTCAATCCAGATCTCCTGTATCGAAGCTGGCAGCAGCAAGCCCTTGGACATGTATTGTGCTTTACTCCGATTTACTCCTGTGAAACGGTTTCAACTTCATTGTCACAGTTTGGAAACGGTCATAGTTTAGAGGCGCCCCCCGTTTGCAGTTCTGAGGATGTATATCACGAGACTATACAAGTCGGCACTAGCCAAAGTGCTTGTCCAACTTCTCAGTGGACGCCGTTCCCAGCACCAGTGGTGAGCGCTTCAGGCACACTCGGGGAACTTCACTTCTGAGCCAGCTGTGGAAGGGCTTGTGCCACCGGAGGACGCGCATGGCAGTCGTTGGAGTTGAAAGAGGTTGAGCTCAAGTTGGTACGTAGGCTGTAGAGAGTTGGATCAAGCTATATGGACATTGTACAACTATGCTTTTGTATACAGAAGGAGTATATAGATATAATGTTTGTTCTGCTCCGATTTGCTCAGGTTGCGCATGTTCCAACTATTGGTTCATATTTTAGAGGGGCTTGACTTGATGAGATTCCTTGTATCATCGGGGCTTGACACAGACTGCTCAGAAAGTGTATGGAGGGAAAACACACTCGTGCACGACCTTACCAAAAAAAAGAACGATGCCAATGTTGGTTTGTGACGTCTAAGTCACCGCCAGCAACACCGCCTCATAAGAGAAGACAAGGGCTTGGCTTGTGGAGGGAGAGGCATAGATATTCCCAAGTCAAGTGCTGGCTTGTAGCGAAATGTTGCCTCGCGCATGAGGACAAACACTGATCGATCCACTCCCAAGATCAAAAAAGTAGCAGCTCCGAATTGGGGACAAGTCTTTCTTCTAAGGTGTCGTAATCCACCAGTGCAGCAGTATAGGTGTGGAAGGGGAAAACTGCTTGCTTAAGACTAATTAAGCCGCTTGCAAGAGCGAGGAATTGTGATTGAGGGACTCTGGGGGATGCCCAGTCAGGTCCTCCCCAGTCAGCTTTTCACATGGCTCGCACGTGGCTCGAGCGGCTCGACCGGCTCGATGCAGGACATTTGGATGCGTTGGCACTTCGATGGCACCGGCTTTAGCGCTTCGGAACTCTTGCGCGTGCGCCAGGTGCTTTCAGGGAACTCTTTGGGCTGGTTCATGGGGCATGGTGGGAGTCTTGAGGGTGATTCGGTGACTGGGATGGGAAATGACCAGTGTGAGGAGGGATATGATGGTGGTGCGCTAGGTTGTGCAATCCCATATCTAAGTCGGTTCAATGGTTCAACTTGCAGTTCCAGATGTTGCCATTTCTGCAATCAGGCATTTGCATTCTTGGAATATGTTCAAGACTCCTCGACAGTTCCAAACTATGGACATGGTATGGCTCAGTATTACTTTCAGGAGATGGAGAGTAATGATAATGTAAAGGACACCAAAGGTCATTGATGAAAAAGAACTAAGGACGCTACTAGGGGCTCCTGGCCTTACTACTAGGAACAAGAAGCTACTAGGGGCTCCTGGCATCGCTACTAGGAGCAAGGACGCTATAGACAAGAAATAGACCAAAGAGATGAGATTTGTCCTTTAACCTGACACTGCTGGGGTGCGGGAAGGTGCTTTTCATTGCTTTTCCCTGACCAGTGGAGGTTGGAGGGCCTCTTCCAGGTGTAGTCCCGTCCTAAACCCTTCACATCCTTTCATCCCACTCGGGTTTGGAGGATACAGCTTGACCATGCTTGACCCCGTTTCGATCTGAGCATATTGCCAAAACGTGAAATGAGCTTGAAATGGCCCAAGGAGGCTTTGGAAGGGGAGACGTGGCTGAGCCAAAAATAATGTTCCGAGTAGATTCAAGTCCTTCTTCAATCCCAATAAAGAACAGAGCGTACTTCTTTCTATCTGCTGCATGCAAGGTTTGATGATTTGCTTTGTTTACGATAAATACTTGGGACATATGAAAATCACATTTGCCAGGACACTTCAGCAGCTACCCCCACCCCCCGCCCCCAAAAAAAAAACATGTCCACAACCCACAACTCCTATCTCATTGCAATTTGTCTATGGAAGACGCCTGTATTTTGCACATGTGAGATAGGACTAGTGGCCCCAGAGTCCCAACTCATTTTGGGGCACTAGTCCTATCTCTTCTCAGCCTAGTATATATATTTTTGATATCATTAGATGGTTTACGATGGCTTCCGCAAGTGTTTCTCGTGTTCAACTCCCAGATTTGACAAAACCATTGGAAGTGGACAAATGGTAAAGAACAGCCAGGATTTGGAAGATCCGGAATCCAGACATGAGTTGCCAAAGCCATTCCATAGCCTTGTGCGGTTCTTTTTCACGGAAGCTGTGTGAGGTCATTTGAATATGGCAGTGTCTAGTTTGTTCGAGCTGTGGATGAATGGTAAATGGGACAATTGTGGCTGAATGGTCGGTCAATGGGACAATTCTGTCATTTGTTGGAGCAGGTGGGCTCTCTAACCTAACATGACATAGGTGACACATGAACATGTCCCGACACGTTGAGCAACTGTTTATTTGTTTGCACCCCATCCCTTTTCCATTTTGACCTGCAAAAATTTTTGCTGGAATGGGGATTGGCCTCGACAGAACCAGCCAGGCATTTGACCTCTTTAAATATTCCGATGTCTCGGAGATTAGCAGCGAGGTGGGCCCGGTGCTGGGTGGGGAGGTGGGGCCGTCATCCGCATGCATTGCTGATGAGCTCGATGGATTCCCGAATATTCCCGAACTTGAGGCTGAATCCTTCGAAGTGGCCGAGAGTTGTTTTCACAGTTGTGTTTTGGATCATGAGATCAGATTTGAGCCAAACTTGACGCAACGATTCAAAGGACTGCGAATAGAATGAACGGAATCAGCTAGCTCCCCAACAACCCAACCGCGGACATGCTGACAGCCAATCGAACACCGATAAAACATTGGCAGTGGCGATGAAACTCTTTCTTGGGGCGAGTTCCATGTTATGCCGTGGAATGCCATGAAGGCTTCGAAGCAGGCATGCAATTGTCTAAATTTATCATTGTTCATATATTAATTACTATATTGTGTTTAATTTACACCTGTAGAAACCACCACTTGAGATTTGAGCCAAGAGTCTTGAGGGGGGCACATAACCCCGGGGATGTACCTCGTTGGCCAGAGTGAGATCATGCTTGACTTCCTTGAATTTCGCGGCGAAGGGAGTTTAGGGGCCAAGTCCAAGTCCTTTGTTTCGAGATGACTGTGGCCTTGGCTTCCTAGTATGCAGACAGATTGTAGAAGTCATCCCTAACCATTGAGCCGATGCCTCGCTCATGCTGCATTGGTGCCTTTCGACCGCAGCACTGCAGCACTTCATAGCGCCTGCGGGCGCGCGCCTACGGGCGTTATTGAGCAGCCCGTAGCTATAGCAGTCCTGATCAACAAACCGGCACTGTGAAGGTCCGCACCAACCAACAGCAAGTGGAGCAAACCGGAAAATAAGCTTTGCGGCCCCTGGTTTAAACTCGTGACTGTCAAGTGACTCTGCCTCAGATGGCCACTGCAGTTTTGTAAGCTTAATGGTTTGAGGGAACATTGGAGCAACATGGGGCAACTATGGTTTGCACATGTTTGTGCATAATTATATAGCTTGGATATATTGCCGTTTCAGGAAGGAAGACGCCCAGAATTGTTTTTCTTCTTGACCTAGACACTTTCAACCAGCTCCACAAGTCCTTCATCATTTTCGCTTTGAAGCCTTCGGAAGCCATGAAGAAGCAGCAAAAGGTGAAGGAGCCCTTCTCGGTGGAAGTTGTCAAGAAGGAGTCTGAAAGATCCTTTGCAGCGGGCCCGAAGGCTCGGAAAAATGGATTTCAATATACGCCCACCGCCAAGAGTCAGATCCATTTGAGGGCTGGGCTGGGCACATGGTAAGATTCCAGAGTTCATGCATTAGACTTTTTTGATAGCCGGCATCATTGGAGCTTCATGGAAGTCCCATCTAGCCTAGCCATCCGAACTGGCCAGCCCGCACTCTTGCTGGAAGAGGTAAGCATTCCATGCTTGCTGCATGTGTTTGCTACGACCTTGAAGCGGCTTCTACAAGTTCCTACTGTTCCACAAGGTTGGGCACGTCCATTCACATTTTCAGTACCAAGGCTAAGTTTCTCTCCTCAAAAACGGATCGATCCGCCGCTGTTCAAGTTCCACATTTTAGTTTTTGTATGCAGATCAGAGTTTATCCTGGCGGCTTTGCTAGGCTCCACTGAAGAGTCACGGGTCGCATGTTCGCCGTGTGAATTGGAAAGGTTGGGGCACCCGCCCATTGGGGGGCACAGGTTCTTTCGGGGTCCAATCCTTTCTTAAGCCCAAACTGCCAAGTCTCATTGCCAATAATTTTAGCTTGCCGGGCTTTTGGACATCCCAAATTAGAAGATTCGTGGACTCTATCTCCACACACCTTTGGTCGAGAAACGAGATGTCACGGGAACTTATGAATGCGGTCCATATGCCTTTACATGTGATTGGTGAGATCATCCCTGACACCAATCACCAGGTGGGTGGGGCCTGGTGTTGTTGTATTTTTCGTACAATGGACACTGGCTGCAGTGGCTGCTTGATTCATGTCCAACCAGTCAAGATGATCAAATCCTCTACTCAAAACAAGTTTTGTCCAACTTGACCTTGCAACTTTTGAAAGCATGTTTCACTGAGGGTGGGTTGGCCATGCTGAGATAAGTTTGACTTTCAGCTTGACCTCGCCAGGCGATCACAGACCATTTGAGGGCGAAAGATCCTGTGCTGGTTGCACTGAAGGCATCCAGAACGCTGCCTGTGTACTGGCGTGGTGTGACTGATTGAGGTTGATTGAGGGGTCGTTGAAGTGTGCCTAGCTTGGCGTTGGTGGTTCGGCGATTCTCATGTGAGATTGTATAAAGTAGAGGCACCCCGCGTCTTACAGTTTAAAACTTAAAGAGTAAGTACTGGGTTTTAGACTTGCCGTACAACTTGAGACGTTGCTTAGAGGCTTAGAGTAGAGAGAACGCGAACCGGATATTCATTCGTTCCCTTGGCTGTGTGTTTGCTCTTGAGAGTTCATATATGTATCATATGTCTTTAGGTCTTCAGAACGATAACAAACGCAAGCAGCCCTGACAACATGTTGTGTTTGAAACCTCACTTGTGAGCACCCGTTTGCCTTCAGTCGGCACAGTAGCATTCTTGGAGTGAGAGTTGCCGAAAAGCGATCTTGAGTTTTGTAAATACTTTTGAATTAACCTGAATATTTACATTCATTCTACAAAGAGTGTACATTGCCCGAACCCTACAAAACGGTAAAAGTCCAGAGCAAAAACAATTATGAATTTTCTTGCGAATGGCGATTTCTCGTAGGGTTCTTACACATGCCATGTAATATCATGTAATTATATATATATACACACCTTTATAAGAGGGTACTGGTAGTTTTTGGAGGTCATTTGCTCATCGACTTTCACTGGGTGGGATTTGGGCCCTACCCCCAGTTGCCAATCGATTTGAAGACGAATCTGGCAAAGTCGGTAATTACTTTGGGGCAGGTGTTCGAGGTTGATGTTGGATCCTAACTAGTCAAGTGGGAGGGAATAACAACACCCTGAATAGTTCAATCTATGGGATATGTTTAATAAAATATCAAACCCCCTCTCTGAGTTAGCAGATATTTTTGGGTTAAATTCAACGCTTAACTTTTTAGGCTGGGAGGGGTTGTGTGTGAAAGCTTACTGCGGTTAAATTATGTTAAATTAAGAGATCAGCAGGTCGTTCTCATAGTTCTGAGGTTTTCGTATCTTCTGTTTGGACTGCAAACTGAGTATTCTGAAACTAGCAACGGGCTTGGACTGGAGCCACGGAAATGGAACTTCCACGGAGCAGATACAATCCCACACACATTTGTGGGGTAATATGTGTGAGGTCAACCCCCCCCTGGATAAATTTATACAGGCGTACAGGTTGGACAATTGTTTGCAGGTTGATGGATGTGGGGGCACAGGCACAGACAACAAGCCTAGTAGGATCTAGTAGGTTTCACACCTCTAGGTTCAGGTGCAAATGATACAGTGCTTGTTTTGTTGGGCTTTAATGTTCCGGGAAAGGAACACTATGAACATTTGCTGTCTATGATTGCTCTTGCATGCTTTTGTAGGGGGCCCCCGGACATTTATTGTTAAACAATTATCTAACACATGGTGATATCCTGGATAACTGTTTTAAATCTATGTCCCAGGGTCTCAGTTAAACAAATGAATGATCCTGGGGGTGTTGAGGGGGGGTCCTTCTAAGATAACCCATGTAGTTCAATGGGAGGGAATACAAAGTTGCTTTCCTTCAAAAGATTCCCATCGTGGCATTTACTGCAGACCCTCCAGCCTTTGGCTTGCCACTCAGGCTCCACCCAAGCCGCATCATAGCTCACACGACTTCTGATGCCATATGCCAAACTTGGCCTGCAATTTCTCCAGGCACAATGAACATGATGTCTCCATGATAAGTGGTGCTGGGAGGCGCATGGCACACATAGATGCGCTGGTCACCAGCCCAACTCAGCTCATAACGCCAAACATGAACAGCACCTCGCGTGCGTGTAAGTGTCGAAGTGTCAGTGTTCAAGGGATTTTCCGGAAGAACCCTTCGCAATGCTTTCGGGAAGAATCGATCAGTTTTGGTGTACATTAAGAAATTGGACAGTTGATATCTCAAAAATGTTAAGTTCCCTAAGTTAGTTATAACTTGTTTTTGCATCATGTTCAATCATCTAGATAGTGAACTTAGAAATCTCTAACTTTTGACAACTAATTTGCAAGTGCCACATACTTGGGTTAGTTACAGAACTTCTAACCCCTTCCTAACTAAGTTGCCAACCACTTACAAGATACTTACAAGTTCCCTACCCAAAAAGGAACCACCAAGTAGGTAGTATGTAAAGCTGATTGTGGTCATTGAATCTTTCTGTTCTGGTTTTTGTTGTGATTTGGGACCTGGGACGCATGAGGGAAGACCGGGGAAGACCATATTCTGACAGCAGGACCATTTTGAGGCCATAAGCTAGCGAGATCTAGTGAGGCTACCTGAGTATTGCATGGTCTCGAAGACTTGGCCGACCAGCTTTGTGCAACGAACACTGTGAACCACATGTTGGGTTTTGACACTCACGGAACCAGATGCTCCGTATGCCATAGCCATTGCACGAGCGTCCAATTTTTGGAGGATTGATGCATTTGCACAACGTTTGCATGTTGTGGTGTCAAGGTGCCGGAAGTTCACAAGCTAACAGTGGCTGCTCAACTTGCTTGAGGGGCCAGCTCACCTTAGGTTCAGCGGCCCCGTGGGGCTACAGAGAGCGGCGCCAGGCTTCCACCCCGTTGGGCTCATGAGCGGTAAAAGCTGCGGGAACTATGCGCAGTTGTTTTTTTTGCTAGCTTGCCTGTGCAAGAGTTGCCGTTGTCCCCACTTCCGGGGTGCCTTGGTCTGGAACGCACCTCGCCTGCTATCCCAGCTTTGGAATGATTTGCCGAGTTCCACGCCCGCCCCGGTGTTCATCGCATTGCGGCCTTTGAGTTTGGCACGGGCACGGCCCAGTGCACGTCCCCACTTGCGGAGTGAAGCGGTTGGCTTGCGGCTGTGAAACCTATTGTTTGTACAGGTCGACCTGCACTTCGACGAAACTTCTTTAGAGGGGGCCACGTTGCACTTCAGCGACTCCTCGCACAGTTAGGGGCCCATGCAGTTGGAAGGAATGAACACTACGTTGCCAGAAGCTATCGGGGTTAGCTGTGGAAGGGTTCTGTAATCCGATGTAGCCGGATTGTGCCTGCATTGGGCCTGCGGTAGGCCCCCGATACACCATGACTGGTCGGCTAGAAAAATTGTGGCTGTTTGTTTGCTATGGAATGCTGAGTTCTTTAACGTTTTCCCTGATGGCATGGATTTGGTTTAGCCTTCGGAACACATTGAAATGGTTCAACATCCAAGTGATGTGAAGGGGGGTTGTGGTCCTTAGGCTCTTCGGCAAGAGTTTCGATCTGCATAATGTCTACTTGTTCAGTTTTGTCACGACCTAGTTTCGGCTGCGCGAGCAGAGAGCTTCGGGTTGCGGGCGCCAGGAGTTGGAAACTGTTGCGGTAAGTGGGTGCTGAGTTTGGTAGGCTGTGCCGCCATGACTTTTTGTTCCCTTGTTTTTGTTGCGTTGGAGGGCCGGCATATCAAGTGTTTCACCACCGTTGCAGTGGTAAGTTGTGTTTCTCACTGGTTTCTCCATTCAAGTTTCTTAGCAAGCCTTCTATAAAGGATTGTGCCGAATTGGAATCCAAACTCTTGAAAAGAACAGTTTGCAAAAAAACGCACTTCATATGGGGTTTGGTTGACATGTCCTTCGTGTTGCCAGACTTCACATCATCTCAGGCGAAACGGGCGGCAGCATCGAGTCTCCCGAAAACTTGGTGCTTCGGAGGCCTTTGAGACCTTGGAGCGTCCCGGCGGATCAAAGGCTGCGGAGTTTTGATGTTTTTGTTTTTTCCCTCTGCCGGAGGTAGTGCTTCATTGAATCAATTTACGATTGATTGGCTCATTGACAATGATCATGATTTCTGTGTGGGCCTTCATGGGCCACGCCCCTTATGCTCACAGGCCGTCAGCGGAAAGATAGGCGCTATTCGCCTTCTCCGTTCAAGAAGTCAAGGTGCAAACTGAGAACACCCCCGCCCCAACCCATCGCAAAAAGAGAAGGATACAGATGATACAGATCAAGTCACCCACCTGTCCCTGATTGCTTGCTGCTTGCTGGTGAGACTGGCTTGAATCGCATTAAAACGCCCCCAGAAGCATCCAGAAGTGCACACGTCCCCCTGCCCTTATGCATTTTACGGCCACCGGGCCAGAGGCAACAAAAAACACAAAGGTATGAAGAGGCAAACCCAAACCTATCACACTCACCAGCCCGATCCGAAGTCCTGCAAGGCAAAGTTGCTTGGAACCAGGGACAGAGTAGACAATGTGGACATGAACTTATATAACTGTTCACATTGGTTCACCATGTCCACCAGGGTCGTTTCTTCTTCTCCATCCAGGTCAGTATTTGGCTTTGATCGGCTCGAAGGGTCGGGAATTCCAAGTGGTCAAGCCAGCGGTTCTCTTTGAGATCCAGTCCAAGCGCTGCTTGACCGGAAGAAACACGGTGACGGACACGAGGGACCTCGGTGTGTGATTCATTTGCCAGGAAGATGGTGGATCCTTTTTTTTTCGTCAGGGTCATGGCAAATTGAATTAGCGTGACTCCATTCAATGCTGGGCGGGAGGGTGGTCTTATCATCCCATGTGTCGACGGAAAGGATTTCCTCGAACCATGCACCAAAGTTTGCATATTCATCCCGGCTCCGGCATTTCTTCCAGTATATGTCACCCTGCTCTATGCGGGACCCTGACTAGAATCACTTGTTTCGGACAACATCCCCTGGAATCTGGGGTGAGGGGATGCCCAGTGCAACTACCGGTTGCCGGACAAGGCCAACATCAGCCGTCGGGTGTTTGAAACAGGGATGTGGGTCCACAATTGTACTTGTATGTGAATACTCATCAGGCTGCTCATGAACATCATGGAGCTGTATACACCCCAAAGCCTTCCTGTAAATAGTACCCAACGCCTACCAAACACACGTGCCAGGAGTGGCGAAGGGGTATACACATATACGGTTTGGTCTTTGGGGATCTAGCTGCTAGAAGGGCATGCCCGAAGCACAAAACCCTCTCACCAGCCCTTTTGAGCATTAGAGGCAAGGCCATGGCCACTGCAGACAAGCGGGTCGCCCGGACGCTTGGGGAGTTGGAGACTCATCTGCGTGGCAGTCGGACGGGGAGAATGCCAAATGGGCACGGATTTGGAGCGGGAAGGGGTCAGCATGCTGTATGGATGTATGCAGTTCATACAGTTCATTATAAAGCAAGATTTGTTTGCATATTATTTTATGATCTATTCCAAGGGTGGGAGCACGGCCAAGTCTAAATGCTACAAGACACGTACACATCTTCTCGTCCGACTCGTCCTGGGCTTCTCTTGCAGCCGAACAACTTGCATTTCGACCACTTACGTCGAAACTTTGATGTAGGGCTTTGAAGATCTTTGAAGTAAGGCTTCACCGTGCACCTGAGGAAAGCCTGATCCGAGCCGAAGATGCCTTGGAGGAAGGCAGATTGTGCTTGGAGTTCTGCAGTGCGCAACATTGCCGCCTCGGGGTGAACGGTGCATGACCGGTCGCCTTTTTGGTCAAATGGATCACGGTTCCCGGTCGAAGAATACGTCATCGTCCGGCTTTTGGCTTCAATGAGTGAGTGAGATTGTGGCATCGAGCATGGCTCATGGTTGATGAAGCCTCTGCCTATGAGGTAGGATTAGAACATCTTAGAAGACGGGAAGGTATCCAGACGGTTGGTAGCTCGACTTCCTGCCACACAGTGTGTCCATATTCCAACTTGAGAGGAGGATGTCTTAAGCCGATGTGTGCTTCATTTGTTCAACGCCATTTGAAGGCCCTTCATGGTCCTTCTATGTTACTTGCTTGCTTCATAATGTTTCATATATGTGTGAGTTTTGGTTCTTGTTCATCACGGAAGTCCAAGACTCTGTGTTTGAGCATTTTGTGGAGAAGAACTTGAGAGAGAGAGAGAGGAACCCCAAAAGACCGAATCCCGTTTCAACCTCGAAAAGCCCACGCAGTTCCGCTGACCAGGCCTCCGACCCACACGCGCCGCGGCCAAGCCACACGTCTGAAGAGAACTCCGCACACCGCCGCACCGCGACGTGGGGGGAACTCCTGAGGTTTTTCTTTGTGAAGAACGGTCTCCTCCGTTTCGGAAATTGACAAAAGGACTCAAATTGTTCTAATGTGATGGGAAAACAGATGAATAATATATTATATATATATATGTGTGTGTGTGTGATGTTTTTGTTCATGTTCTTATTTTCCTCTTATTTCCTGAGCATGCCACCGCAGGACCTGACGGCTTGGGGCATGCCCACGAAGATCCATGTCTCGACAAACCTGTAGTTTTGAGGATCCATGTGCATTTTGCAGTGATTGTGAGACTCTACTCTACCCTACCCCGGAGGGGAGTTCCCAGAGCTTTGCCTGGCTTCCGGGAGAGTGAGAGGGTGTGCTGCGCACGGTGTTCTTCCCATTTTGCAGTGATCACCCCGTGCAAACTGCATGGGCAAACCTCCTCCTGGGCTCTTCGCACATGCCACCAGGCTATCAGGTACTGAAGAGACATGAAATGAAGGGAGATGAAGCCGACAATCTTTGCCCCTTTTGTAAATCTCCTCCCCGGCAGCCAGCCAGGTGTGAGCTTTATATTTATATTGCTATTGCTGGACGTGCTTTCCGCGACCCCACACGCTTCCACCTCGTCCTTTCCCGGTCGAGGTGGGAGATGCGGACTCAGCTGGGTCTTGAAGGGCTGGGTGAACCCCTTTGCGGTGTTGGATTCGACCTGCCGCTCGGCAGACGGCCAAAGGCGACGGGTCCGATGGCGAGGGGGTCCCTGCTGGCTTTCATTGTTCAGGGTCCCTTTCACGGAGCTCAGGGTAGATCATGAAGGGTCAACCCCTGTCAACACTGGAAGACCAGTATGCTGACAGGAAGCACCAGCTTGAAAGCAGAAACCATCAGAAACCTATTGAAACCATTGATTGAACTGAAGCACCACGCAAATACAGTATTTGTTTCAATCTTGGTGCTACTTGTCCCTGCCTTTTTTCAGGGTGCTTCTTGGTCAAAGTTGTCATTCCCTATGCCGACCCCTTATGCCTAAAAGCGGTTTCTTCATGTTTCTTCCACGTCCACTTCGAAAGTGAGTCTGACGAATCAGGCGATGGAGACTGGAATCACCACCACGAAGTACGACGAAGCCCCCCCACACCCAGGTCAATTGTGGGGTTATCCGGGGTTATGGCCATTGTCCCTCCGCAGCAGTATATAATATATATATATATATGTGTGTGTGTGTTTTGTTTTGCACTTTCAAGGCCGAACACTTCTTTTCAAGAGACGGCGTTCTTTCACGAACAGGTCCGCTGTTCGTACAATTTCCTGCAGTATCAAGGGCTATGTACTTCGTGGCTAATTAACAATACTGTAGACTGGTACAAGCTAAGGCCCCGGAAGTCATACAGAGTGAGAAGCTAGAAACTAAGACTATAGACAACATATATCACTCGGAGTAGAATGCTGCAGAGTTGTACAAGGTCCCGCATGGAAGTCAGTTCTTAGCGCTGCAGACGAGCATAAGTTGACGACAAATGATTATGTGCACCCTTCAAAGACAGATAACATACCAAGTAGAGGGGCAGGACCAGCTCGGCAAACAGCTTACCGGTGCTGCTGGCTGGTGATCGAATGGCAGGGTCGATACTATGAGTCGTGGATGTCGTAGAGTCAATAGTATTTAATCCTGGAAAGTCATGTGAGTATTCTTCAATAGGGGTCTTCTTCAACCTTCAGCCAAGCTTCAACCTTTGGAACCATTGAATCAGAGGGGCCCAACTGAGGACAAATGATTCCAGGAAAACTTGGGAAAATGATGGACAACTATAGGCTATAGGTTTTCTATTTAGATAGGTTTTGCTGGGGCATTGATTGAAGAATACCGAATACCCCTATTGAAAAAGACTCCTTGGTGGTTCAATAAAACATGTACTGAAGAAATACTATGCCACCGTGCATTCACGTAAATGTCATTGCTCGCATGCTCAAAGATCTCCATCAGGGGTGTCCGACAATGAGCGCGTGTTTCAATCCAAAGACCGGCTTGCTTTGGGAATGCAACTGTTTAGTAGAAATATACATGATAGAGGTTCCAGTCTTGGCAGGCACCACTTGCATACTAATCCAACTTGCACCGGGCTGCACAGAGCTTTTCAAAGAACTCTGGTCGGTGGCAGGTGGGGTTTAGTCGGGAGTGTATTGAAATGCTTCCCACAAGATTGTTCAGCAGAAAGTCACCATGTTCCAGCTGCGTTTCCGTTGATTCGATGCCGAGGAGTGCAGAGATGGACTCCCTTCTCAAGGAGGACGGGCGACGGACACGTGGGAAAAGCCCATTGGTGGCCTTTCCACAGGCCTTTCGGTTCAATATGCAGCGATTTCACAAATCGTAAGATCCGAGGATCTAGTCCCACTGCAGGTGACACCTGTTGCAAAAGACACGATTGGCATATCATGGCATATCTAATTAGGGTAAATGCGGCTAGGGCAAATTCCACCTGCATCAATCCACTTTGATTCTTGGAGCCACTCAGTCAGGGGGTTGAAGCCAAAGAAGTGGAGACTGCGATGTTGAACGGATGTGCGGAACGTTGACGCAGGATGACTGGGCTGGTGAAGGTGCAGCCCCGAAAAAGAAGCACAAGAGATCTTTGGCCAAAGCTTATTAGTGTTCTGAAGGATGAAGAACTGTGAGCCTTGGTGAAGCTCTCCCAGATACAATGAGTAGATTGTAAATTTGGACCAACTGTTGTGATTTCGTGATATTTCATGCAATAGCGTCCTTAGTGTTTTGAAGCTTTGGACAATCTTTTGCTAAGACACTAGGAGTTCTTTTGCACCTGCTTCTTGCATTTTACCTTCATGTTTTTTGGCCGCTGGGATGGTAGATCTGTTGGGACGTAAGGAGCGAAACATGCAACACCCACCGATCCATCCTTGCGGCTAGCCTGTTGGAAGGGTATCAAATTTGCTGGAGTCCTTGATCAGGTTACCTTTGCTTGAGATGTCCGCACTTGTCTCACCAAAATGCTCTTCTCGCAAAAAGCAACAACTTGAGGAAGTGACCGTTTCTTTGGTGCGTCCGCCGTCGTCCTTTTTGTGCCCCGGTCGGCTGCTGCGCTCACGGAGGCTGCTTCTCAGCCTCTGGACAGAAGCGTCAGAGAAAGGAGGAGGAAGAGCGACTGAAGCCTTTGGCTGGATCCTACACTGCTAAGGCCTGAAAGTGAAAGATGAGAGGGACATGCAAGAAGACTGGAAGAAGAATGCATCAACTGCCAAGCCCTCACCACCAATTTTGTTTGCGATGAACCGCTGTTGCGCCGGTAGTTTGATTCCTCCAATACCTGGCCTTCTACCAGCCTTTTGTTGTTTTCGTTTCACCAAGCTGAGTGAGTGCCTGTTTCCTATTTCACACCTTCACCCTGGGAGGTCCCTGCATTTGCCCAAACCGATGACCAAGCAGCCTTCCAAGGTGATTAAGCCGAAGATCAGTGAGGTTCCTCCAATGGTGGCCTTTTGGAACTTCAGCGACTTCGATTCCGACGCCTTGCAGGACCGGCGTACGGTCCAACGCGGGTGTTTCGGTCCAACGGTCCTGAGAAAAATCCATGGCCTGGGGTGGCTTGTGCTCAGGGGGGTTGCGACTGAAATGCCACACATGGCCCTGAATTCGGGCAAGTTGAGGGAGCAAGCCAGGCTGACCACAGGATGTTGAGGGGACCTTCAGTCCCATGGGCAGGCGGAAGACTTATATATGTTCGTTATTGTATTGTCTCATCCAACAGCAAGAGCCCACGCTTCAGCAAGTCTGGAGCCATTTGATGTGCCTCCCTCTTTTTATTCCTATTGAAGGCCTCACACTGGCAGGGAGAGGTCATTATGTTGGATTGGAAATGAAGGTGTGGACAGTGCAGACCTGGTTTTCCTCTCAGGTGCCACAGGACAAGGTCATTCGTGGCCAGGTGCCCGTCCTGGCCGGCAAATCCCACCCAAGCTTGAGCAGCTGAAAAAGGGTGGCGAGGCAAAAACACATGAGACATGCTTCAAACTGATTGCACGGCATGCAGTACACACAGATGGTGAAAGGGGAGTGAAGAAGATCCCATGGTGTCCATGAAATCTTGGTGAAAGGAAAGAGCTGGTCACTCATGTGACGAGGTGGCGGCCATGGAGGGTGATGCATTCGCAGTGCCTCGTCCGCTGCGTTCCCTCATGTTCCCTCATCAGGAAGTCGCTCACGTTGGTGCAGCTTTCATCACAAGTGAGTGTCGAGAGCGCTGCTTGTGAGAACCGGTGGCCATGGGGAGTCAGGTAGACATCCTGCTCCAAGATGGTGTCAAAACATGTCCAAACAATTCAAAAACACAAGTTCACCCGATTCTCGATGACTATCGCTGGTCACGTTCGACTTGGACCATGCGGTTGAACTTCTCAGCTTTGGTCCTTGCCCTGGCCTTGATCAACTCTTGTCGATGTTTGTGCAGTTCATCATGCCGCTTGTGGTGCTTTTCGATGGATTGCTGCAGCTTGCTGCACCTAGTTTCTGTCTTGAACTTGTAGCACTCGTCTTCTAATGGTGGTTCTGGGCCTGAAGGTCACCAAGTTGGCGTAGGGCTCTTTGGACTTGGCCCTTGGCCTTGGCCATTCACGCCAGCGGCATTCTCGAACTCTTCCGGAGTGTTCGCTGAGACATCGGTGGGGAGGTTGGAGGCATCGAACTTCTTCTTTTGACATCAACCCTTGTTATAGCGGTGGTCCACTTGGTGGTTGTTGCACTCTGCCAAACATTCAAGTTGGCAGTCTTTGGCAAAAGCTGTGCAAAACAGCTGCAAGGAGGGCAGTGAAGAGGACAATGTTGAACAACTCACTCTCAAAGCTCATGTTGGTGAAGGAAGTGATGTTTGTTTGCTTGGTGCTGTGTTGGCACAAACGGTGGAAAAGCAAACATCGCTTGGCATACTGCAATTCACTGCTTTCCCATCTCACCTTTTCACTCCAGTTGCCTTGTCCAGCATAGACTTCCCAAGTCTGTACGGTGCCACGTTCGAAGGCTCGGTTCAAGAGCTTGTTCAACTGTTTGCTTTTGTCGTGCCTGTTGTACTGCTTTGTGGTTGTTCACTCGGTTCAAGAGCTTGTTGGTCAGAGGTCTGTAGACAGCATCAAGTGTCTCCGCATACTGGGTGGACTTCCAGATGGATCGAGACGGTCTTGGCCATTCTTTGCAGCGTGTATTCACCCCGTAGTTCACGAGGTGCTCCATTCGCCATCTTAGCCATCAATCAGTCCATCTTGATTCCAAAGGACGACATGATTGGTCTTCCACCTGTATGCGACCAGCTTGGCGTTGCGACCAGATTGGCCATTGACAGCCGTTGGCAAGTCCAGTTGAGCCACCGCCGAAGTGGAAGAGTGAGAAAAGCCCACCTGAGTTTCATGCAGTTGCTTGAGGACCTCCAGCGACAAGCCTTGGCCAAGAAGAATTGAACTGGCTCCGGTGTCCAACATTCCGCAAAGTGGGTAAGGTGCATTTGCTGGGCCACAGCATGTCAATGTCCGTGCAACCATAGCTTGTTCCGACTTTGCACTCAAGGGTGGCGAGGCAGAAACAAATGAGACAGGCTTCAAACTGATTCCACGGCATGCAACTCAAGACATCATTTTGGAACAGAGCGATTGTGGACCAAATCAAGTTCCCGTTGACAATTCTTGGACTGCTCCAGCTGTCATGTTCTTACCCACTCCAAGATACACATGATGTGCTCCGAGCTGCATACTTGCCCAGCCCTCACGCTAGCAACTGCCTAGTAAAAGCAAGCTCCTAAGACCTCACATACCATGGTGTTCTCAATATAAGTTGGCCGAGTGGATGAACCATGATGAACCTGCCTATTTTTCACCGGCAGTGGATAGCTTGGAGGCCCGCGGGGACTGTCTATCAGCCTGCAAGGACCTTACCTTCAAGCGTTGGGAGCGTAAATCCGCCAAGCCTACCTTCCTGGAAGGCGCAGAGATGCGGATCATCCCACCTCGTTGGGACACCATTAGCCCGTAGGACTGGGAATATGTTTCATGATGTTTCATGATGTTTCTTGTTGGATTAGAACTGATCGACGGAGGCCAGCTCTTTTAAAAGCATCTATAGTAGGGGCCACTTTCAGGTGCTAGTTTTGAGATTCACTTTCAAGCACCTTGGGGGATTGCTCCCCAGGGAGCCTCGCTGCCAAACACGTGGATCGCATCACGTGTCAATGTTCACCATCAAGCATCGACTTGGGTAAATGGATCATTTGAGCTGCTGGAAAGGGGTCCCATCGACAGGGAAACTGCTGACTGTAGTTGGTTTTCGGTGCTGCGCAGAGGATACGGGTCGCACAAGTCCTCCCCAACTTCTGACCGAATCGCGCGTTCTTTGACAGGTGAAATGGTGAATTCTAGTTGGAAGCTCTTGGGGCTTCAGGAGCTGAGAAGGGGTTTGAAGGACTTGCTGGCGGCTACAGAGGGTTAGACATTGCAAATTCCCAATTCCCATCTCACGTGTCCGACCGTGTGCCGGTGTTGGGCACTTCAAGCATAGTTGAGGTTACATAGCTGAGCCTATCTCACTGCTGAGGCGTACTCCATAGGGGGAAATCCATCATGACGTGGGAGTTGTCGTGAGCTAGGGTCAAAATCAATAAGGGTGATATGTGATAAGTCATAAGTGGTCAGTGAAGATCAGTGAAGAAAAGGCCAAGGTGAGGCAAGAGCAATCAACATCAGTCTGGCGAAGCAAATGGCGAAGGAATGGGAAAAGAGCAGTGAGATTCCAAGTAGTCCAACCACCGCCCACCGCCCGAGACAAAACACATGTTCTTGACCACTTAAGCTCCTATTTTCCTTTTTCAATGCTTCCTGCCATTTGTGACGGGTTTTGTGTGGCGGTAGTATTTTGTTGGGGTAGTTGAAAGCTTGTGACACGTGACAAGAACAAGCTGCACCTGAGTGGCATTGAGTGTCACTGGCTCATTCAGAGACTGAGACGTACGTTTGACGCGATCAGGACGAGGAGCCCAACCACAAGATACTTCTGGGCATTTTGACTCCTGAAGAGCAGCTGTTGCTTTCAAGAGCTGAGGTGTTTGTATTGAAAGCCGCTTGGACTGAGAAAGTGGCGCGGCCGAGCTTTTCTTTGCTTTTGAGGTGTTGCAAGTTTCATGATGTTGCATGGTTATTTTTAACTTGGTGACTTGTTGTTCGGCCTCTACGTGCCTTGTTCCTTGCAGTGCAGTGATGATTTTGATGTTCATGGAAAGTCTTCGTGGGTGGACCTTTTTAAGGGCCACGCGGCCAGCAATCGTGAAAAGCAAGCAGGGTCCTTCAGCGGCTTCCTTTCAAACCACTGGTTGTGGGCTCAACGTGCATGAGGTTGCTGTCAGGTTGCTGTAATCGTATATATATATATATATGAGTTTTCGGACCGATCAAGTTTTCCAGAACTTCAATCCATTAACCTTAGTGGCCAAGGCGGTGCCAATTTTGTCACCACCTATTGCCTTTGACAGTTTGCAGTACTGACAAGGTTAAATATACAGTGTAGTGCCGTTTCGTGTTTCCGAGAGCCAGCGGCCGTTCCTAAAGCAACTCTATTCCACTCCAAGGGGATGATCCGACGATTGAATGGTCGTCCGGCTTCAGTGGCAAAATCTGAGCAACATATGAACTCATGCGCGTTGACACATGGGATGCCTCTTATGGCGCTGTCAGGTTGACACCCTTCCACCTGAAAAGGACGAGGAGGAGGCCACTGTTTGCAGACCTGCAGAACTGCGCAGCCTGTACGGCTGTCATGGTGGCCGGCCTTCTCAAGTTCAGTAGTTTTGAGACCCACGGTTTGGTCGCATTCTTTTGTGCATCTCGAACCCCAACACTGGGCTTATCTACAAACTGGTTGAGGAGGCGACATTCTACGCAAAGTTGAGGATCTTACAGGTGGGGCGAGTGGAGGCAACAAGGAAGCCCAAGGCATGGTTCCCATGCACTTGTTTTTTTTTTTGCATTTTTGCTAAGATCACCATATGTCCTCAAAAAAATAGGGAGGTTGTCCATATAGTTAGATATTGAAACAATATATTAAAACCATGCGGTTGAGCCTATCAGCCATACTAGCTGGACGGTGGCATTGTGTGGTGAACCTGCTATGCGGGTGTTCCAACCTTCGACCTGCCATGTTGCTAGGCCGTCGTTTTTGAGTGCCTTTCGGGTCGGTTTGTACGACCCTGGGTAGTTTTATGCTAGGGCAGTCTTGCAGTCAATTGTCCGATTTTTCACCAACCATCACATCCACAGCTGCTCCCGGATTCTGGGGGCCCACTCGGTGGAGTCCAGTGATCAAACCTGTGGAATTTGTCAGGCACCTGGCACCAGGGAAGCATAGAGGTGGTTCCAGGTAAGTGCCAATATTATTGTTGTTATGTGAGTATGTGGTAGGACCAGGGCACATCGAGAAATAAAGCTATGGACTACTTCTGGTGGGAAGACCATGGAAGACCCATCCAGATCTAATCAATCTGTTTTGGTTCAACCATGTCAAGTCTATAATTGAATTCTAGCATGAGCTGCAGCAGGCATGGCCAATATCGCCCCAAAGCATCCCAAAGTCACGTCTATCACTGCCCGTTGTCCCATCGTTTGGCCCATTCGGAGGCAAAGTCATACTACCAGCTGCGGCAGATGGCCACGGACGGCTTTGGCACTGATAAGAAGATCCGGACCTCAGCTATTCTGAGAGTCTCTTGCCATCGATCTCCACCCGTGGACTGGTGCAATTCCTCGACCACAACACTTTCGTAGTGGGCCACAATGGCCGAATGTGAGAATCATCAGGGACCCAAATTGGATGGAGACCGTTTTCAATGAGTGTACACTCATCAGGGCAGCCCTGGGCTGATCTACCAAGCAAGATGACTTTCTCAGATTTTGCAAAACTCGCGCAGGGGGGGGTTCTCATAGACTGCATACAAATCAGAGCCATCGTGAAGGTTTGATACCAGCTCGGAAGTCTTGCAAAACACTTATGCACAGAGCTGCATCATGAAGCGGAGGGGGAAAACACTGCTGGAATTCATAGAGCAAGGTGCACTCTACTGGAATCTGTTTGACCTGAAGTAGCTACCCTTTCCGATCCAAGCACTCCCAAGACCAATCAGGAACGATTCACGAGAAGTTGCGAAGTGGCGGAACTCGACAAGTGCAAAAAGCGCCGCGGCGGCAATCATACCATGCTGTTCGAGCATCTCATGGTCTCCAAAATAGAAGGGCCAAGAACCAGAGCGGAGAAGAAGCTTCAGGAAAGATTCGGTGTGACGAATTCCGAACACACCGTAGCTCATTTTCAGCTGGTAAATTGGTGCTAGCTTGGTCATATGCATCGATTTTGCTCGCTGAAGCCCATAGCTGCCGAATTGATCTCATGATGTTTGGCAACATCATGAAAAAGCCTCTCCACAGTGGTGAACAGAGGGGCGTTTGATCCATGTGGGATTGAGACCAAGAGTGGTTTTGAGGACAATCCAGAAGAGAGTGGAGGAGCAGAGCAAGACCACAAAGACGACCTTTGACAAGGATCTTGAACTTAAACATCAGTATCTTGGATCGATTGGCTCAACGGCGCTGTTTGCAGGTCTGACCAGCCAACAGGCGCATGATTTATGCTTCTTTGCTGGACCCATAGATCAGAGGTTCCAGCATTGGTTGGACATTCTGATACCCGATGCCCCAAGGAAATGCAAAGGATGTCCCCTTCTATGACCTCTTGCCATTCTCGGTGTCCTCATTTGATCTCATTTGAATTTGTATGTATATTTTCATAGATATAGACATATATATATATATAAATAGGTGAACATCCCATCCCAACGTAGCCCGAGAAATGTGGATCGTTTGTTTGGCCATGGCTGCCATTGCTTGCTCGCTCGTTGGCCCCCTGTTCGTTCGGCACCCCCGGGAACCAGTTCAGGATTTTGCCATCCTTCAAGGACGCCACAGAGCCATCGAAGATCTATGAGGATCTTTGGTCGAGGTCGGTGCTGAGGTTGCTGGGGAAATCTTGGACATGTTCACGTTTGGGCTGCCTGCTGGAACAACTACTTGCAAGATTCCTCATATTCCTATTGATGGCCTTGGGTAGTTTGATCCACAAACAGGAAGTTTCTGGAAGACTACAGCGTCCCTTTAAATTTGCTTCTTTGCTGGTGCACATTTCAATAACAGGTGGAACAGAAAGCAATGATGAAATATCAAATAATTTAGGTAAGATTGCTATGACATTGCATTGCTGAAAGTCGGGCACTCCAACTCCCCTGACGTCATCCGTTTTGGGCATCATATAATGATGGATTTCAGCCCATTCCCTGGGGACCGCAACGTTGACCGAAGCGAGCTTTGGTCAGTCGGGAAACCGAGGATGGTCTCGGCGAGATCGCAAATGAGCAGTTCATCAAGGACGAGACGGACTTGATCCAGCCCTGTAGCTTGGCCACTGGTGAAGCCACAAAGGCTTTTTTGGGACTCATTTGCATGGAAGAATGTGGTTGATGCAATAGGGAAGGGGCAGCGGCTGCAAAATGCTTGGAGGATACGAGTTCGGGTAGATCATGTCCATCAACATGCATTAACTGCAACCGTTGAGTTGGCGCTTTTGGGAGGTAGTACTCACAGGGATGTCTTTGGATCCTGGATGACTCCTGAGTGAAGAGCATGCCGCATGAAATTCACTGAAGGCATGGGCCCTAGTGGCTATAGTTATATAAATGGCGACATGTGTTCTCTTCAATCCTCAAGAGAGTCCAAAACAGGGCTCTTCAATCCATTAGACCCTTTAGATCTCCTACGTAGGCGACATCCGGAAAGTGGGAAGATTGGGGCACCATGTCCGCTCACGTGCGCATATGACCCACATGTTCGGGTGCAAAGTTGTGCTTTCGGCTTCCCCGAATGTAGCAGGGCAATGTAGACAAACTGCCTTGGTCATGTGGACGGTTGTGGAACTTGGGACCTTAATTCAGGGCCGCCCTGAGAAGAGCGCAGAAAGCAACCCAAACTGCCACAGTCGGGGGACCCTGCGGAGTCAAATGATGTATCAGGCGGACGATCCAGTCACCACATGAGGAATTGCACTCGCGAGGGGGTTAGAAACCATGCTAGCATGGGGTCAAGAGAGAGGTGCTGACAAAAAGAGTGCAACAGTTTATGTAGGGGTTGATGGGCTTGCCCTGCACTTCTGCACCATATGAGTGTTCCCATGACGAATTCCTGAAGCAACATGAAGCAATTTAAATCTTATAATAAGTTTACTGTATGACTGTATGTTTGTTAAGTTGGTTCAATATAGTTTTGCGGCATAGTGTGATTTGGTTGGCACCTTTGTACATATACCGATGGTGCCCATGTTTCTTCTCACCAATGTCTCCAAGCATGATTACCTTGTGGATCTTCGGGTCTTGTTCATAGAACTTCATCCGCGCGTGCCACCGTTCAACCCGCCGAGGTATGCATCGGCTCTTGCGGATGAAGGCGCCAGATCTCCTGAAGCTCAGTGACAAAAGCGAGAACGACTTGGAGGCCGAGTGTCGGAGCTCATGGGGGAACGGTGTGGGGGTGAGTTTCTTGTTTTGTGGCTTTGGAAGATGGAAAGGAGCTGAGATGAGCTGAAACCATCACATCTCATCTCATTTTCACTTGGCATATGAAACTATCCGCAGAAAACTAACCGGCTGGTGAGAGTCGCCCGTTGCTGGCGACCAAACGCCCATCTTGTCAGTATAATTCCCAACAGTCCCAGAAATATACAATATCTTGTGTCCGCACATGTCCGCACGTCCAAGCCCCACCAGGCACGAACACCGGGCATTCTTCGCCAGCCCTGGCCAAGGCCTGTGGTGGCTGGCATTTCGTGCTGCAGGTTCTAAAGGCACGAGGCGCACAAAATGCACCGCCTCCCCCGCCGAATGATGCGCAACTTGGCCAACGGCTCTCTCTATGCGCTCGGTAATTGGGTTCAGTGGAGTGGTCACCTGTGCGCTCGGCACGTTCAGTTGAGGCGGTAACGACCGGAGGGATTGGAGCTGCAATCAACTTCGCTCCAATAATATGCAGACATTTTTGGATCTTAGTTCAGTGGGGCCTCACACTGGATGACTTTAAGAGTCCATTGTTTTCGCTAAGAATTTTGCAGGAAGACCTTCGAAGCATTGATCTAATTAGTCGGCCAGTCAGGGGCACTTAGAGAAAACGAGTGGGGCACTTAGAGAAAACGAGTAGTTTGATGAGTCAGGTATTTCTTTCAAACGATGCGTCGGACTCGCATTTCCAAGGCAGCTCTTTGGACAGAAACTTGGGGTCTTGGGTTTGCTGCTCCGGATCTGCCAGATTGAGGACAAGGCGCCGCTTCTCCGGTGCTCGCAGTGGAGAGTGGTTCGGACGAGGGGCCACGGCCATCCGCTTGTTCTGGTCGGGTAGGGGTAGACGGCAGGGCAGGGCTAGGCCATAAGCAACGGGAAGAAGATCACCTTTTGGGTCAAGCATGGTCAAGCAAGTGGTTTTTCTCCATACTCCAGTGAGATTTTCCAGTCGGTGGTTTTGGTGTCCTTGCTGTTTTGCTGTGGTGGATCGTTTTTTCTTAGAATTGTAACATGTGACTGGACCGCTTGTGACAATTCGTCGGCAACCAATTTCAGAGATGTCGGGCTGAGATCAAAGTAGGTTCATGTGTTTGTATACATGTCACTACATGTCTGTGAGCGTTTGGCAAACTTATCGCAACATGGTAGCATCATGACATGACGCTTGAACCGCCCAAGTCCCATCACCGATAGGGGATGACTCGGAGATCAGCAGTTTAGCATGTGGCATATTATGCATTCAATGTTTTGTTCCAGTCATTCAGTTGCTTCTTCATGTCGTTCCGCAACGGTCAGGTGAGGGTGTCATTTGTCTCTTCTTCCTCGTCATCGTCCTCTTTCCCCCCTTCCTCCCTCCTCATTACTTCTGAGTCAGCTTGTCCGCCTTCCATCTTCTTGCCAGTCAGCCAGCTGTGTCGCCCATGGATCCGGCATGGAAGATGTGGCGCGCCGGAACTCGCGTCTAAAGATACGATAACTACGTTTGCATATGCACATGCATATATAATAACACTATATTTGTTTCAATGCGTATCTATGATTTATGTCAGATAGTACCAGGCAATAGGTAATGCAATGGGCTAGAAAGGATGTCAGATCGTATGCTACTACAACAGGTTGTCGAAACATGTGCCGGATATATTATGTCAGATTGCGAGATCACATTCCAGAAGATATGCCCGATCAAAGGCCAGAGGATGTGCCGCATTGCCAGATCATGCCAGGTACAGTAGTATACCAGAAGGTGTGCCAGAAATTGCACCATCTAAGCGATCAACCTGACCTGACCTCTTTTCACTGACAATTGATTCTACGCAGTGGTAAGGATGAAGATAGGGGCAATGTTCATGTCCAGTCCAGTCATGAATATATAAACTAAAAACTCTCCTTCTCTCAAAGGTGGACGGTATGTTTCGTCGTTAGCCTGGTCAGTTTTGGAACCAACAGCCCATGAAGATTTGACGCTCTCAGGCCAAGCGCAAACAGAAGTATCGAAAGTGCACACCGAAGCTTCTGGCAGAACTGCTGGAGTTGAATGTCAGCTCACCGCTCCTCAAGCAGTGGCCCATCCGCATCAGAGATATTGGAGGCCTAATCAATCGAAGGCTGGCGCGGGGTTTCATGCAAGGGTGTTTTACACAAAGTGCTTCACGAAAACACATCCCAGCAGAAACTCTAGCTGCACTGAGTTCGCACAAAAGACGTGCAACATTTTGAACAGCCCCCATGAACAGGTGTACTGTATCTTGTGGTTCTCTCCGTGTGAAGCTAACCGTGCCAGGAATCCAGGGGAGGGAGCAAACCATTTGGGATCGCATGGTTGCGCCAATCGGAGGAACCTGGATGGGCTTCTCACAGGAAATCAACAGATTGGCAGATGGGCACTATTTTATTTTTATGGCATTCCTTGTGAAAGCCTTTGTCAAAGTACAAGCCAAAACATGACCATCCCAATGAAGGAGCTTTTCTGTGAAGATGCCAAGCGATATGCATGCCAGGGGGATGGTTCGATTTTGTGCATTTGAGAAGGGGCACATGGTTCAGTCAAGTTTCCCTCACAACCATCCCAGACTCCCAGACACTGCTTCAAGACGGCAGTTGTTCAAAACCTTTTCAACTCCGACCCCTGAACTGCCAAGAAGGATGAACCTCCGTTCGTTCGTGTTTCTTTGCCGCCAGAGAAAGAGCTCAGGTTGCATCAGCGCTGCTATGAAGCGATGCCGGGCGACACTGCGATGCGGGTACTGAGTATCCGCACCCTGGAGAGATCAGGAGCTGCACTGGAAGATATGACAGAGGGTCATGGTTGGTTATGGCTGGTTGTTTGGTGAGAAGATGGCCCCAGTGTTGGAACACAGATGGGCGCTGAACATACACTCCTTGAAGATTGTCGAAGGGCTCAACGTCGTGAAACCAAAGGAATTGAGCATACGAGCATTCCTCACAAAGTTTGTTACTCTCAAGCACAGGTCAGGAAACACAGACGCATACAGGATTGATTGGTGAACATCATCGCTAGACTTCTAGATTGTGTTGATGCTCAAGATGCTCACCTCAGTTGACGTGGGGTGGGTGGCTTGCAACCCTGCCCGGCAGGATTGGAGTGGCTAGATTTTGAACATTCACTCCTTCGAACTGTGTTGACTGTCCCCACATACTAGTACAATGTGCCAAAAGGGATCCAAAGGATGTCAGGGGTGCGCCAGATCGCTACTGTTAGAGTTGCACAACTATTGCCAGACCTTCGCTGCAGAGCATCACCTGTTGTGCCCACTGGTCCCAGCCATGTACTTGTGACAAGGGCCTCTCCCCAAAAAAGACTTGGTCGGGTAGCTCGAAACAAATCAACATAGCATGATGCTTTCTTCTAGTTCTTTGGGTCATGGTCCTGGGGGTCATGGTCCTGCATGTGCGTTGCCAACACCCAGACATGCAGGACCCAAGAAGTTGCTGGACACATTTGCAGGTATTCTTCAGATGTTCACCAGGTGCTGGGTTGAACCAGATCCCGCCTCCCAAGGCAGAACGCTGTGTGCTACCATCATTTGGGCATTGTTGCCCGGTGGAGATGGGGGGAAGGGGATGCCGTGAAGGATGCGGAACGGAACAGCTGGCGGGGATTTGCGAATGACTGTTAGGAAGTTCATTTGAGCATGAGAAAGCGTATAGTATTATATGCTGTAACATATAATATATATTCATCTTATGTTACATTATCTGTAATTTATTATCGTTCCTGGCACCTTTCTCCAGACATCTCAAGGCCCCCCCAGGCCATAATCCACCTCATCACGACCCCCCCCCCCACACACTGGGACACACACTCTGACATTGGTTTTCAGTTACTGTAACTCAATTCCCAAGTGGAAAAAAGGCGAGAGAACCGCATGGCGAAGAGTCCAAGAAAATTGTAGTTCTTTGAACAAAAGAGTTTCACACTTGACTGCAGAAGCGCTCAGCAACGGTGGAAAGCTGCGGAGGGAAACCTGTTTTGGGGAAGTATCATGAAGGACCATGAACCAAAGCGTGGAAAGTGGAGTCACAGCTTGAGCAAACGTTCCGGTTGCAGGTGCATGAATGGACGTCTCCATTCGCTTCCCCTCCAGCGATTTAGCTTCGTTGGACAAGGTTCATCGCTGGAGGCCTTGCCCCCCTGCTTGAATGAGAAAGTGGTGGTGACAGACTCTTAGATACAGAGTGTGAGACACACACACACACACACACACACACGCACGCATGATTAAATGAATTCAGCACCTAGGCACAGGCCTTCATATGAATTGCTGTGGGGACATGCACCAGGGACCACAACTCTGAAGAGACACAGATTCAGATGACTTTGAATATGAAGAAACGGCTTCCACTAGAAGGTCGCAGTGTGCTGAGCTCTGTCATGCAGAGACTGATTTGACCTGACTGACCATCTTCAGGATGGAACCCCGCTGTTGAATGACGAGGCCGCGGAAATCCATGCGGAAGGGAACCCTGAAAAGAACACGGCTTTCCGACCGGAAGTTCTTTTCTGCTCGCCCTTCGAGCGACCCTGAGCTTAGGCACCTTACTCCAGAGCTTTGGATGAATGTGACCAAGAGCGTGCAGGATGAGCCACTTGCTGTACGAATTCGGATGGAATTCGGCTCGCTGTTGACCAACTGGGGGCCTTAAAGATTGTTAGAACCTGATGCTCCAATTTCGGTGCCCAGTTCATCTACCGGTTGGGATACCATCCAAGCACAGGTTCCGCGGATGCTGTCGGATGTATGCATGTTGCTCATGTGCAAAAAGTGGCCACAAAGACGGTGAACGTCACACTAGTGCAAAGTGACTTGTTTGATTTCCGGTCGCATCAACCTCAATTTGTTAGTGGCTGGATTTGGGACGGGGTTTCTACTTTTTTTCTGCAAATTTCTTAGGTTGAGCGCTCCGACCAAGACTCTGAAGATTGCGTTTGAGTTCCTTGACCGCATTACCACAAGGGCATATTGACAGGGCCAGAGCTTGGGCCACCGTGCCGAAGGAAAAAGAGTGAGATCAGAGATTGAGGTCAGGCTCGGCATCCATTTGGCATGTCGGAGCTTCGTCATTTTCAGCGGAACTGATGGTTTGCTTCACCGGATGTTCGGGTATCGCCATGGCACGCGCATGTAGATCTGGCTAGAACACCGTGATAATGTAATTCCATGTTCTTGGTAGTTCTCCAGAATCTAAAGCCGGCAAGTGGGGAAAAGGTCTTTGGCACGCAGATCGATCAAGTTTATCTCATTGCCACTCCCAAGCGACTTGCTTTGCCTAGCCTTTCGGATCTTCTTTGGATTGCCGAAGGAGATCGAAGAAGTTTTGCAAACGCCGCGCACTTTGTGAAGTGGATGGTCACCACATATCACCGCCCACCGGAGTGTTTTGTCACCAGGTTCATCGGATGCAAGATCGAAGACAAGCCGGAAAACGTGCTCAAAGCCCTTTGGCAGGGAAGCTGTTCGGGGAAGCGGTCGGTTGTTTGTAGTTTCGGATAGTTTCGGGTTTTGCAAAGCTGCCCGTTAGAAGAACACGTCCCTAGGATTCCCCAACTGAGCGATTACTCCAAAGACAACCCAGTGAGAAAACTCTAAAGACAAAAATGCTTGAACATTGGTTTGGTGTGACGAGTGCTGCTGGGTTTGTGTGATTTCTGTGCTATCAAAACCCAGTTCGCAACGCAGCCAGTTCCTACCATTTTGGAGGTGCAGCGGTGCGGTGATGCCATTTCTGTTGGCCCTCCCACGGTCCATTGTCCTCGGAAACCCAAAAAGACAGGTAGAGGAAGGCGGTCTTCCAAGCAGAGAGACCCACTCCATCCCACTCCTACAAGTTGGAATTGTAGGGCTTCAACGGGTTCCAGCATTCAATGGTTTCACTTGGTCCACTTCTGTGGTTGTACCACCGAAGCGCTGGTTTTGAGGTCCAACTTGTGGGCGCTCCAAAGTTCGACCAAAGCTTCTATGAGAAACAGCTGAGAAATCCAAACCAGAGCAGAAAGCGAGGCCGGTAAGATTGGAGGTCAGTTTGGCTGGACTTGCCTCTCATGTCCAATAGACACGATCAAACTGACATACAGTAAGAAGAACAGCAGGTAGATTCGAGCAGGTGAGTTTGGTCGGTTGTGGAAAGTTTGTCTTGAATAGGCCAGGAGATGTTTGCTGAATTTCAGGGCATCGCAGTGATTGGCTTCTAGGGATGATCACTTATGTCAGTAAGCCAGAGGCCCCCCTGGCGATCCTTGTGTTGTTTTCCAAGTGGGATGACCGTCACGCGCTGGGTTTGTCATTTTGGATGAGATCAGCAACGTGGCTGATTGCCACTTCGCAAAGCGATCGGAAAGCATAGCCCTAGCCAAACTGCTTTGCTTCTTTTCAGGAAGTCTGAGGTCAGAAGAGGCTTCGGCAGACTATGGCCTGCCTGTTTCAAGTTCTACCACCAGTCTCCCAACAAGCCAAGCGCTACCCATTCCTGACCTCAGGTTCACCTGGGTCGTCTCTCGTGGTCTCACCTGGTCGGCGGTATCGGGTCCCGACCGCAGCGCTCCGGTCATTGCAGTAGGTCCTGAGCGATCGAAGTAGATGGCCACCACTTGGGCATGGGTATGCAGCTGTATGCAGCGTGTCGATGCCAAACACTCCAAATCATCGCACCATACTCGCTGAAATCATGGTAGTTTGACCGGTCCACAAGTGGTTTAAGATGTGACCCGCATTGCTTTGAAGGACCCCTACAAAAAAGAACAACAGAAACTAGCTGGTGCGAACTGCGAACCCAGTTCATTGTTCGATTGTTCATGTTCGCATTTTTCGCCACATTCCTGGTTTTGAGATGAAGCCCGTGCGCGTCCGTGTTCAATCACAGTCAGAAACCACAATTGAAGCCTTTCCAGTTCCCATTCATTCCTTGTTCATGGCATGAATAGGAGGATGCAGGAAAGCGATGCTCCTGGCTGTGTGAGATTGAACTGGAGAACGGTTTCCATTCGAAAAAGCACCTCCTCAGATGGACAACGATTCCCTCATGATTCCAATGCCAATCAAAGGGGCGAGCCAGTCCTAGCTCAGACTCACAAGGCCCGGATGAGGAACGAAGGATGATGCAAATCACATCATGGATCGAGTCAAATAGAGTAAATCTTGAGGGTGCGCTAGATTCAATAGTGGTTTTAATTTATACATTTATAATGCATAATTATATACAATATACGCTTTTGGGAAGTGGTGCCGATCATTTATCCACGTGGTACATGATGTCATTCGTCAACAGTTGATGTGGAAAGCATAGAAGACCTCACCAACAGCAAATTTAAAGGGAGACAGTTAAGTTCAACAAAGAGCGGTGGGATGCATCATCCAGCCCCATGCGGGATGCACACAATGTGCAGCTACGCAACTTGTGGGCGACAAAAGTGGCGGCAGTTCAGACGTGGTCAAGAATGCTACACAGACGAAGGCTTGCTTGGCATGCATTCGACTCACACAGCAAGGGTTACAATATGCGAGTCATCGGGGGTCATCGGGCAGTTGCTTTTGGTCAACCTCACTCTTTTGACAGGTGTCTTACAATAGAGGCTTACACAAAGAAAGTCGTTGTGAATAGCTGGCGACGCTCAGAGCCGCTTTGTATAAATGCCTGAAGCAGAAAAATAAGTCTTTTGGCAAGACAAGACTGGACACAGGCAAGATGTGCATTCAGCAGCCTAAAATACTAGGGTTCATGACGTGCTTCTTTTGACCAGATCGTCTTCTCAACAGGTAGAGATGGGGCAAACCCGAGGGGTAGCTGCAGAATGAGATGGGTCTGCCCCAACAAGCCCAAGCTTTCGATCGCCAAGAGCTACTTTGCCACAAGAGCCAATATGATGAACCAAGGATTGCATGTGGAATATGCTTAAAAGAATGGCGCATGATTCCATGTGCCGTGAACAATCTTGGCCAAATGCCAGCCCCCTGTTTCAGGTTCTATCAATCCAAAGAAACCAGACGCTTCACCCTGGACTTTCCCAACTTTTTGTGCTTTTCCTGCAGGACTTGACGATGGCTGTTCAGCACTTGGGCTACTTCGCGATCGTTCCCGAGGCGCCTGGCGCCAACTCCGGTCGACCGTTCCGACCGTTCCGGGGAGAGCACGAAGGCCAACAACGGGGAAGTACGGCCAACGAAGACTTGGATTCGTTTGAATGAGTTGTTTGGCACTATAGAGGGCACACACTGACACTGACATCAGTTCACCTGTGTGTTTCATGGCACAAGACTCGTCGCGATCAATTCTTTTCTGCCCGTGGCTCGATAGGTTCGCCCTCATGAGGAAGATTTGGTTCATATATGTTCATATTTAATTAGTTTGTGTGTGTGCGCGTTGGTTGCTTTGGTTGCCTTGTCACTGTCTCAATCATCGGGGTGAATTATCAGGCAATAGGTACCGCAAGCTGTGGATTCTTGATTCATGGTGATTCATGACCGTCACGACTTGCACCGGAAACAGGGGCAGACAGCAAATCATTGGTGTTTCAACTTTGTTCGCATAGATTTGCATCACTCGCGGCTACAGTCGACGAATCACATATGTATGTGTGTATATATATATACCAACATGACATATGGCGAAATCTCCAGCTTTCATGAGTTGCTTATTAAGAACAAGAAGTTCCACTCCGCTGTCGGGGGGGTTTGCGTTGCCCACCCACGGTAGCTTGTCTATCTTCAAACTCTGTTGGCGCACAGAACACGCTACTAGCAGGGAAGATGCTTTGAGGACGCTCACAGCTGGTGTTCATGTGTTTGAGCCAAACACCGCTGGGCTGAGGACGCTTGTTCGGGCCTCTTGCTTGTCCTGTCATCTCTCGTCAGGTAGTGGACGAGCGAGCCAAGGAAGTGTCATTAGCTGAGAATGTGACAGCCGTGTTCACTTCGTCCGAATCACTATGTCACGTATTGTTTCGTTATCTATTGCGCAAAGTATCTCACACGGCAGGTGATTCTTGATCAAGGGTTTTGCATTCAATTTGTTTTTCAAATCAGGTTTGGAATTCTTACAGACTGATGTGGCCCTGAAGGATGTTACTACTAACCCGATACTACTCATCAGTGACGAATTAGTCATTACTTGACTTGCACCTTAGGCAGGTTTTGCTTCACGCAAGAGAAGGTGAGAATCCGCAGTGCCCTATTCTGATTGAATGGTGCTACTAGCTAGTGTAGTCACAGGTGGCTGAAACATACCTGGTCTTTGTTGCCCTTCTGAAGCTTTTTTAGTGTGTTTGTAGGCTCGCCTCAAATTATGACGCCACCGGGAGGCCCTTAAAGTCGTTACATCGTGACAGCGGATTGGAAGGCCCTTCGTCGAACATCCGGTGCCTGCGACCTTTCATTCGGCGATCCTTTGCGACAGACTCGGCCAACGGAGCAAACGGCTCCAAGGACCGAGTACTCTGCAATGAACCTGGCAGAGTTCACCAGCTTCCTCGAGAAGTATGCGCAGCAAGAGCTGGCGCGCCTACCAAAGCGGTGGTTTGGAGAGGTGTAGTAGCAAAGTGGTTGGGGGTTGAAGATATCGGGTACACATTGAGTGATACAGCCAAGCATGTTTGAACAAGTTTAACAGCTGTTGATGGTGATTCATGGTGATTCTCAAGAAGTCGAGTCTGATGTGTGAAGCACTGGCACTCCGCCTGGTTGACTGTCATCCACGCGGGGATGTTGGTCGGACATGCTTAGATTGAGGATCAGAATAGTGAACACGCAGCAAAAGCAATGCTTGGATCCCGCTCCATGATATGAAACCTTTTCAAACAACACCCGTCAGCGTTCAGAGAACAGTTTAGTTATAAATCCCCGTTGCTACCGACGATCAAAAATGGGTGTGGTTAAGCACGCTCAAGTCTTGTAATTTAAATGAATCATCTAGTATAAGAAACACCTTCGGCACAACTTAATGACTTGAAACACCTCTGACCTATTATAACCGTAACCCATTTTATATTGACAATGTTTGAATGATGAGTGTGCTTAACCTCTATTATCGGTAGCAACGGGGATTATATATATATATATTTGAAATACAGGCATGTTGATTTCTCATCATGTCCTTTTCACACTTTGTTCGAGTGTTCAGAGTGTTCTTTGTTTTTGCAAGACCTTCAGAGGCCGACGGAAGCTCACTCCACACGGAGAAGAGGCTTCAAAGACCTTTGAAGGTATGGTGTTGTACGCATAACGCATGGTTGGTGGATGCCAGGCCGACATCAAAGAGGCGTTCCAGCGCCATTCCAAGCACTCAAAGGCTGGTCACCTGGGGATTGAGCACTCCTTACTATTGGCCCATTGTAGTTAAAGTTTTTCCATAGTCAGTCATGTGTTGCAGTTTGACGATGTTCATTTGCAGCCCGAATTTTGCTAGCGCGGGCGTTCCATAGTGGATGACCCCACCAAAAGGTGGGACGGGAAGACTAGCAGGGAGCCCTGTATTTTGTGGATAGTAATTGCACACCTCCCCGCAATCTTGAGAGAATGTATTTTCACGCGGGGATGATTTCTTTTCAAGCACACTTGGCCGTGTTTCTTCATTCGAGCATGTTCACAGTTCACGTCCTAAAACTACCATGCACCCTGAAAATGGGCCTATGGAAGAGTGGTTTCCAAAACCAGTGGCTTTGGACTGTGCGTGTCACTTTGCGGCGTGCAGATTGATCGTGACGCAGCATCAGGTTCCGCAAAAGGTGCTCTTACCTTTTCTGCATGAAGTAGGTTGCTTGGCCAAAAGGGAGATGATGGGGAATGTCAAGCAGCCCGCATGTCTTGTAGGGCGTTATTGCTGGCTTAGACCACATGAGGCAGCCATCAACTGCTCTTTTCCACGGCTGCATTCTCCAAGCAACTAACAATCCTTCCCAACGATCGATCCAAGTCCTTATGCACTGCACCCACATCTTGATGGCTTTAAGCCCTCAAGATTGTGCGTAGGAACTGGAGGTCCCAATAAAGCAAGTCTTGGGATTGTGATTGATCTTTTCCATCAATTGTCGTAGCTACTTTTAGTTGTGATTCTTTG